TGGCCCGTAGGGTTGTCATTGTCCTCTTTTCAGAAGCAGTCACCAGCCCCTTCTTCCCAGCCCATCCTAGTCTGGGCGTTCAGACGAAACCTGTGCACCATGAGTGACTCTGTTTTTTTTAAATGCCTGTGGCATCGTTTCCAGTATCACAGCAACATGCAAGCCAGTACCAGAAACAGACAGGCAGGCGGCGGAAAATAAGTACAACCTGTACACGCATGCTAAGGAGAAGGCCAGCAGTGTCTAGCAGACGAAGTAGGAATGAGGCTACTCTGCACAGGTGTCTGCACAATTGGATCCCCATTTGGAAAAACACGCTGGATCCCCTTCCACTGAGCCATTTGAAAGCCAGTTACAGAGATCATATCACCTCACCATAATAGTTCGGCTTGCATTTCCAAAAAGTATGCATATTCTGTTACAGGGCCACAATAGAATTATCACAATGCGCCTGAGAAATAATCCCTAGCATAACCTCTTTCCCAGCCTGTATGCGAAAGGTTTCTATTGTTGCAAATCGAGTTTCATACACTGCATTTGCTTGAATCCCCTTAGTCTCTGTTGGCGATTTCTTCAGTCGCCGATAAGCTGAAGTTTTTTCCTTCTGAAACGTTGACTATATTTGTTATATATTGTGGTGTAACAAATGACCCTAAAACTTGATGATTTGAACAGCGCATGCTTGTTTTTAAAAGTTTTATTGAGCTAGAGTTAACATAGCATACAATTCAGTAGTTCGATCATATCGAGGAGGGCTATGCAGTCATGACCACAATCAACTTAGGAACATTTTCTCCTGGCATGCACCCATCACTGTTGACTCCCCATGCCCCCAGCCCTCCTTCTGTGTCCCAGGTAATTGTTCATCCACTTCCTGTCTTCATAACTCCACCCACACTGATGTCACTGTTCAGAAAAAACACACAAAATGAACACAAAGGTGAAAAAGGACCCTGCAGCAATCACCAACTAGAGCAGAGAAAACCCCGCTCAAAAACCAAGCAGAAAATACTGAAAACCCAGAATAAATTCTAAACGGGTTACAAGGGAGATGGAAGGTGTTCCATGCCCACCCAACGCAGCTGCTACAATCCGCTCCACGGTGCTCTGTCTCCTAATCCAGGCTGTGGACCGTCACCAGAGACTCATTCCACAACGAGACCTGCAGGTGGACTGCGGACTTCCATGATCATCCATGATGTTCCGCAAACGGGAGCACATGTGTATTATCTCACAGTTGCAGCAGCAGGCGTCTGGGAAGGGTTCATGTGGGTGGTCTGGCTCAGGATCTGATGACTTCGCAGCCAAGGTGTCAGCCCGGGCTGCGGGCATCTGGTGACTTGACTGGGGCAAACGCTAACCTTCCAGCTGCCCTCAGTGTTTGGTGGCAGGCCGACTGCGGTTCACAGGAAGCCTCGATGGTTCCCAGACACCTGGGGCTTTCCAGGTGGCTGTTGCTCCTGGGACAGTCAAGTTGGTTTCAACAGAGGGCAAGAGCAGCCTGGCTCTCTGCCACCCCCCAGTTGTTGGTCTGATTGAGCCCATCGCTGCGACCACTGTGTCAAGTCATCTTGTTGGGGAACTTCCTCTTTTTCTCTGTCTTTCCACGCTGCCAAGAACCAGAATCCTTGTTCAGAGATTGGTCTCTCTTGATAACAAGTCCAGAGTTTCATGCGGCAAAACCTTGCCATCCTCACTTCTAAGGAGCATTCTTACAGTACTTCTTTTAGGACTGTTTGTTCTTCTTGAAGTTCATGATCTTCTCATGTTCTTTGACAATGCAATTCAATTGCATTGATTCGCCTCCATTCTTCCTTATGCATTATCCAACTGTCACGTGCATCTATGGGGATTGAGAGCACGATGGTTTAGAACAGGCACACCTTAGCTTTTCATAAGTGCTCCTCAAAACTCAGGCTCTGGCTCCCCCAGATCACAACCTGAGAGACAGAGAGATCCAAAATATAATCTGCAGTCTTACCATAACCTAACCTCAGAAATTCCAATTCCATCACTTCAATTGTACCCTGCTCATAGAAACAAGTCTCTTAAGTGCAGCCCATGGCCATTTGACAGGAGAAGAGCATAAAAAAACATTGTGAATATATCTTTTAAAGCACCACACAGACTCTCAGGAAATGAGATAGGCATTTTGTAGACTGTCCCAAATGATGGCTTCCTCTGATTGAGTCCTCCTAATGACTCTCCTCTAAATGTTTCACAAACTGGACATCAATTCTGAGCATTCCCCTCGGCTTACAATCAACATTATTGGCACGAGTACTTCCTAGGTGGCGCAGTATGTTTAGAAGACACACACACACACACGCACACGCACACGCACACGCCTGTACAAGGAGATGGTTTGTTTCTTAATCATTTTAGGAGGAAGAGGGTTTTCCCAAGGATGACCTAACACCCAGGAAAAGATTTGCATTTTTGATTACATGAAAATGAATAACTTTATACCAGGCACTGTAAACAAAATGTAAAGGGAGATGAGGCACCAGATACCAGGAGAAAACATTAGCAACAAATACATAAGAGAAGAATCAAAACACATAGGATAAATGGCAACTAGAAGGTATAACTACAATGAGGACAAATGACTCCATGAAAGTAGAGTATGAGGAGATCCAAATCATCAATAAATGTATGCACAAATACCCAACCTTACTGCATTCTCTGAATTCAAGGCTCCAGGGAGATCCCATTCTGGTCTAGCACTGTTCCCCAGAGTGGGCAATGCTGCCCCCTGGAGTGTGCCAGAGTGCCTCCAGGGGTGGGGCGCTGCCAAAGCAGATACCTACACTTTATCCTGGACTACAGGCTATCATGGTCAGTGGGGAGGGGACACTGAATTTTTTTTTCCGGGAGAGGCCAAATAAGTTTGGAAACCTACAGTCTAGCAGACGAGCAAGTATTTTAATACTGAATATATTTTCAATAGTGCAAATTGTCATGTTATTGAGGTGAATTTTGAGAGAATTGTCATATCAATACTATTTCGTGAGCATATAAATTACTTCCGTCATTTGAGAGGGCAAATTTTAAAATAATTCTTCCCTACTCCCTTAAAATACTATTACAAATCCAGTGAATAGTAAGAAAACTGTGCAAAACTGCACAGCGATAGGTGTACACATCATAGTCTGATGTGAAATATAATATTGTCTATCCCCGTAGGAGAAAGTGAAATCCATGAGGCCCTCAGAAAGTTTGTGAGGAAATGCAGTTCGAAGTTTTAAAAGTGATTTTCCACCATCTTTTTGAGGCACCCTTTTTGAAGATGCTGATTGCCATTGAGTGAGCTTCACCTCATGGCACCCTTATGCCCGACAGAGCACAGCCGTTGCCGGTCCTGTCCATCCCCGTGATCGCCGGTCTGCAGGGGGCTGTGTCCGTCACATGCATTCCCACAGAGCCAAAGTCACCACCATCAAGTCCATTTTCACTCCTAACAACCCTACAGGACAGGGTAGAACCACCCCCTGTGGGTCTCCAAGGCTGTAACTCTTAAAGGAGAATCGATAGCCCCATATTTCTCCTGTAAAGCAGCTGGTGGTTTCAAACTGCTAACCTTGAAGTTAGCATCCCAGTGCATAACCCACTATGCCACCGGGTCTCCTATAACATGTATCAGGTGAAGAAAAAACATACAAAGCTATGTACAGTATAGTCCCTCTCATCAAATCAGTTCCAACTCATTGAGCCCCGGTGGCATGGTGGTTTACACACTGGGCTGCGAACTGCAGAGTCATCAGTTCAAACCCACCAATCTCTCTGATGGAGAAAGATGAGGTTCTCTGCTCCTATAAAGATTTACAGCCTCATAAACCCTAAAGGGCAGTTCTACTCTGTCCTATAGAATCACTGTGAGTGAGAACTGACTCAATGGCAGTGGGGTTTGCTTCTTGTTGTGTAAAGTGTGTCCTCATTTGGGGGTGGGGATATTTATGTCTGTCAGGGGTGGGGAAAGGGTTCTGAGGGATAACCTACTACTGAGTGAAGAACCCTGGGAACAAGTGAGTTGTGTGAGAGAGACCCCTTTCTTCTGCCCTGTGCACATCTCAGTTGCATAATTCCGAAAGACGTTTTAAAAAATAGATCATGATCAATGAGTCAAGTCCTCTAGCAGAAAGGGATGCCAGTGGAAAGCCTGGTGAAATTCAAATACAGTCTGGAGTTGAGTTCACAGAAATGGATCGATGTTGGTCTGTTAGCTGTGACAAACGTACCATGGCAATGTAAGATGTTGGCAATCAGGGAGGCGGTGAGGGCCCTATGGGAATCTCAATGGCATCTTTACAGCTTCTCTCTAAGTCTAAAATTTTAAAAAGAAGTTTAAAAGAGAGTGGGAGGGGAGGCGGCAAGGGAGGGGGAGAGCAGTGGAGGCAGCAAGCACACCACTTGGGCTTATTCTCAGGGGGTGGGGTGCGGCGGGGGGCGGGAAGCAAAGTCCCTCCTGAATTCTGATGCTGAGAGTGGTCTCTGGCAGGGTTCTCACTCAGGAGGAAGTGGGTGGGGTTTGTAGAGATTCTCTGAACTAATCCCTCCCAGAGTTCTGATCTACGAAGCCTATGCCGGCTCCCCACTAACGCTAAGCCAGCTTCTCAGAGACCCCCACAGTTTCCCCTCTAGCACCTGTTTTTTAACCTACATCCTTTGTCCATCTCAGGCCCCTGCCTCCTCCACTCCACCATCACCAACCTATAAACGATCTGGCTATGCACTCAGGAGTGGGACCTGGGGTCCGTGTTGGGTGGAGGGGAGGTTCGGGGTTTGATAGGGGCAGCATGGGACTCATCATAATGCACCAAATGTACAAGAGCCACCCTTGCCCTCCCGCCTGGTGACCCCAAGGAGAGGAGCTCTCAGGTGGGATCATGGAGCCGCCACCTGAGAATGCCTTCTCTCCCGCCTACAGGTCTTTCCCAGGGGTTCAAAGCCTCCCAGGTCAGAGCCCCCAGAGTGACCGGCTGCCCTCTTGTCTCGCTCAGGCTCCACTTCCTGGTCTTCGACACGGAGGAGGTCCACGACGTGCTGCGCATCTGGGACGGGCCGGTGGAAAGCGGCGTTCTGCTGAAGGAGCTGAGCGGCCCCACACTGCCCAAAGACCTGCACAGCACCTTCAGCTCAGTGGTCATGCAGTTCAGCACCGACTTCTTCACCAGCAAGCAGGGCTTTGCTATCCAGTTCTCAGGTCTGTGCTCACCTCTGACCAACCCCTTGTCCGTCCACTGTCCCCCCTGATGCCACTCTCCCTTCTTTCTCCCTCTGGGCCTCCCATTCTTCAGTTTCTCCATTCATGGTGAGCTGTTTATTGAGCATCTGCTATGTGCCTGGTACTGGGAAGCACCTTTTAAGCTATCTAGCAGGGAGGCAGGAAGGCACAGGATTATAGATTCACGTACAAGTTGGAAAGGCTCTGAATGGAGGGAGAGAGGCTAGAGTGGAAGCATATAGTGGGCCAAGTGGAGCAGCAAGGAAGGTGTGCCGGCAAAGATGGCACCCAAGCGCAGAACAGAATGCTGAGCGGAAGCTACTCAAGAAAAGGAAGGATTCAAGGAGGGAGTAGTCCACTTTGACTGGTGTGTTAGTCCAGGTAGACTAGAGAAACAAATCCATAAAAACTCATAGGTGTATAAGACAGAGTTTTATATAAAGGGTAATTACACATTAAGAAAACATCCCAACCCAGTCCAGATCAAGTCCCTAAGTCCAATATCAGCCCATATGTCTGATACCAATCTAGAAAGGCCTCTTCAGACTCACAAAATAGATGCAATGATACCAGATGCTGGATGATCACAGGTCAGTAGTTGCAAAGTCTTGTGGGTCTACTGGTGGTAGAAGCATCTCAGCGTTGGCAGGGGTCTCCATGTGGCTCCTCCAGTTCCCAGGGCATAGGGTCTATCAGCGTAGGGACATCTGTCTTGTCAGTAGAGACTCTCTCAGGCAGTGAGCAGAGAGAGAAGTCTTCTGCCTTCAAGGAAGAAAAACTAGATTTCCCAGAATTCTCAGGAGAAAGCCACGCCCACACAGAGGCCTTCTTGACTATGGCCTGATTGACAGACTAGACTCCACCCCTTCACTCTTAATTCTCTCAAGTCCCCAATGGACACCAGATCATGTCACCACCACAACTGGTAAAGGTGCCACTGAACCAGGCTTGAGAGTCTTCCTGGACCCCAGTTAACGGGATGAGAAAGAAAGGGGCAATTTGTCACATGGTGTGGAAGCAGGGAAGTGGTTTCCACAAATGGCCGGCGGTTCGTGTGGCTGGAATAGGGGCGTGGAGGCATGTAGGGGAAGCCCAGGCACCAGGGACGCACGGCTGATGTGACATGATGTGCTATGACATCGTACAGGTCTCAGGGAGGACGGGAAGCCAAGTGCAGTCATCCAAAATCAATGAATTATGTACCGCGGCAGCCAAATATGGAGGAGCATGACAGAGAGAGACCAAACAGGGCCAGTGCTAAAGCAGCCAAGTCCCAGATAACCTGCCCTCCCACTCCCCGGGATGAATCGCCTCTCCCACCTCTTGTCGCTCTGAACAAGTGGTTCGGCCTTAGTTTATGCTCCTGTTTGTTACACGGCTGCTGTCTTCATTACCATCTCCTGACTCCACCCTCCGGGGAGGCTGCCAGGGGGATTCCAGAGCAAGGCCATGGGCATCTGTGCCCTGACTTTGCCTCCACACTTTCACTCGGGGGTGTAGCACCTCGAGGGGGCTGACAGCTTTCTCTGGCACCAGGGAGGCGAGAATCCTCGTCCCCGACTTACAGCATGTTCAAGTCAGACGAAGCACACCTGCGACTGTCCTTTCTAGTTTATCGTTGCGTTGATCTCATCTTGACTATTGCGTTGCAGCACAGAATTTGCCCTTTATTGTCCTTGTCAGAGGTTCCCTCAAAGATGTTCTAGTTTGTATTTACTGGGTAGACTGCCAAGTTTATAAAGATCCTGATCGTCAAAGTGAATAATAATGAAAACCATTGTTAAAGGAGGTATTCCACTTGACGACAGTCCTAAGAGTCCACAGAGCCTGTTCGGTTGGGTCCCACCTGTCATGAGGTTGCAAATCCTTCTTCCGGCACCTCTATGCGTGTCGTGTCTTTTCCTTGGAGATGAGTATGGGGTGGGCTGGGGGTGATGGACAAATGTCTCCAGGACAGTGACATCACTGTGGACAGTACCCAGTGATGCTGTCAGAGGGAAGGGGTGGGGGTTGACCAAAATTGACTGCCTGTAACATTTTTGTACCATGAATCCAAAGAAATCCCTTGCTTTTTTATTTTATTTTTTGATGTGTGTAGTCGGGTCTGACAACAAACCCATCTAGTGGAAGCGCAGCTTCCCTGTCTTGATGGCCCTGCGAGGCTAAAACGCTGTGCTGTTGCGTCTGGAGCCTTTCCCTGCACTCCCGTCAGGGCTTTCATGATCCGCCCGGGACAGTGCTGCTCCTGGTCACGTGGTTTGTCTGCACACACTGTGGCGTTCTGTGTTAGACAGGGTTGGCCAGAGATACAAATCCAGTGACACTCGTATGTGTGTAAGAGAGAGTTTTATATCAAAGAGTAAGTGTATGGTGAGAAAACATCCCAGCCCAGTCCAAATCACGTCCCTAAGACCAATATTAGCCCATATGTCCGATACCAATCTATAAATTCCTCTTCAGACTCACAGAACACATGCAATGATGCCAAATGATGGAAGTTAACAGGCCAGTGGGTGGGAAGTCTTTTGGATCCAGTGGCAGTGGAAGCATCTCAATGCTGGCAGGGGTCTCCACATGGCTCCTCCAGCTGCAGGGCTCTAGTGTAGATCCATGTGTCTTGTCAGCAGGAAGACAAAGCAGAGAGAGTGTGTGTGTTATCTGGCCTCCAGTGAACTATTTATCTCCATGGTGCCTCCAAATGAGGTCCTCAAACTGCGAATTCATTGACAGACTAGACTCCACCCCTTCGCAACTTGATACCAGATTATGTAACTACCACACTCTCCTTGCTGACATGTTGGTCAGATTGTCTGGTGTTTGAGAGGCAATGTTGTGGTCATTAATCATTAACCCACTGCAATCACTTTCTTAAGAATATTGTCATAAAAGAGAAAAATCATCCAAAAACTGCCGTTGAGTCAATGCCGACTCACAATGATCCTACGGGACAGAGTCGGAACTGCCTCTGCGAGTTCCCAAGACTCTTAGCTCTTTATGAGAGTAGAAAGCCCCATCTTTCTCCCCTAAAAAGAAAAGACAGAGGAAAAAGGAAAAGAGGTTACCACTCAGTCACTGATAATGTAACGAATAATGTTGTCGCCTGATGAGAAAGAGTGTGTGAGACTATGCGTTGTTACGAATCTAATACATGGAGACCACTTAGAACTATTTGTCACATGATCTTCTAGGGTTATACTGCTAACAAGCACTACTCAGGGTTCCGTGTGGTCCAGTCGAGGAGAAAGTCCGTGGAGGTGAGGAGTGATTGATGCTAAGACTTGCCACACTGGGTGACTGCCACCCTAGCGAGGCCACCGCTCCGAACCTGTGTTCTTGATTCTGGCTCACCGTCCTGCTTATTATCCATGCAGGCTTCTCATCAGCAGGGACTGTCACTTTGCAGAGCACTTTGCAAAGCATCTAACTCCTTCATGGGATCCAGGGGTGGTACAAACGGTTTACCTTCAGCTTCTAAACCCAGACTTCTAAACCCACCCAATGGCACTGTGGAAGAAAGGCCTGGTGATCTACTTCTGCAAAAATGACAGCCAAAAAAATCCCAGTAGAGCAGTTCTGCTGTAACACGTGGAGTTGCCGTGGGTTGGCACTGACTCAGCTGCTACATGTCTGGTTTGGGTTTTTTGGTATTCACTCATGGAGAGAGTCATGGAATGTCATTGAACTCCAAGAGAGCGTAGGGTCCCACCAGGGCACCAAGTGGACTGGAGTTAAATGAGTATTTCCCAAAGTCTGGGGTTTTTTAGAGTTCTGTGGAATGTGAACTGAAATGTTCATTGTAAGGAAAAAAAGAAGCCTTGGTGATGATGTGGGTTAGGTATCTGACTACAAACCGTAGGATTGGCAGTTCCAGACCATCCGTTGTTCTTCTAGAGAAAGGTGAGGAGAGGCTGCCAGGCCTGCCAAGATTGACAGTCTCAGAAACCTATACAGGGCGGTGATGAATCAGAACTGGCTCCATGGGCGTAGGTATTGCAAGAAGACAACATGCATGGTCAAGTCCTGTAGGGCATGGGGTTGAGGCAGAGCTAACAAGGTGGTACTCCCCAGGATTCTTGGCATGTGAACTCAGAGGCTGTCTACTGTGCCATCATTGGCAAACACACTTGACCTTGGATGACTGTTTTCCTAGGCCATCTCAAGAGACCAGTGTTTCAGGGAACACACTTTGGGCGTCTCTGGGGTGAGCACTGGGAGGATCTCACAGCAATAAGGAGGGGACGCACAGTGTCTCAGGGGGAAATGTTATCGATTATTAAAGGCAGACATGGATTTTTCTCTGAATGTGCCCAAGAAAGTGGGCATGGATTTTGAAAACAAGAAAGCGGGGAGGTTGGTGGAACCCATTCACAGTTGTCCTGACCAAAGGCCTACAGATTTGCATCTTCAGACCCACCTCGGCTGTGTCCTAGCACCACGTGTGGGGCGGGCATCCCGGCCACTATGGCAATGTTTGCCTCTCCTCAATGGCTTGCTAGTGTGTGGCTCCTCTCACGAGAACCCATTCATCCTTCAAGGATCTTCTCAGAAGCTGTGTCCTCCCTGCTAGTCTCCCCATTCAGAATATACCGCCCTCCACGCCCAGACAGTCCGCCTTTACCTGGGGCCGGTCACCTCCTTTGTCATCCTGTGGAGAGTTCTTTGAGGAGCCAAGCCTCACCTTACTGCCTGAGCATGCCCACGGTGAGGGCATGCCTACATGGTCACTCACCTTACTGTGCAAATGGGCGTGGTAGAAAGGAACAGATGAGCAGATGGCTCTCTCTAACCCTCGCGTCTCGTAGGGCAGATGGCTCTGGGCATGTCTGAGGTCTGCAGAGCAGGGGCTGGTCAGACTTCCAAGTCCGGGCTCCTGAAGGCCGTGATGGCCCGACCCTGTGTTCTGGGCATCACGGAGATTTGGGAAAGGTCACCTTCCCTGTTGCTGTCATCAGTTAGCAAATACCAGAACTGCTCCAGGGAGGCCAGCGTGGCTCGCCCCATGTTAACTTTATAGTGTGTGTTTGACAGGGGATTGCAGGGAAATGCCAGGGATGATTAGTACAGGCTTGGCTTATTAAGTAAACATAACTGTGCAACATCTAACATCCTGTCTGTACCACGTGGGCCCATCTGTCTTCAGGGGCTTTGCCAAGCAGCTCAAATTCAGGAGCAGTAAGGAGAGAACGTGAGTACCAGGAAGGGGAAGGGAGGGGAGGGAAGTATAATCACCCCCATCTATTAAGCGAGTGCCATGTTAAGCTCACTACTACATCCCTCTTAGAATAGTCACACAGACCGTAAGGTCTGCGTCCCGTTATTAATCTGTGCTGCAGAGGTGGGCTCAAAGACCCACAGAGGCTTCTCGGCCAAGGCCATCCAGTTAATAAGTAGCTGAGCCTGAATCAAGCCCCTGTGTCTGATTCCCAAACTCAACCTCTTCATCATGGCACTTCTGTGGCCAGCCATATAAATCCTCTTTCAGCCAGAACGGTGAGTTCTTTTTCTTCGAGGAATCATTTCCATGTGTTGAGTACCTTGTAAGGTGCGAGATGAGCACTAAGCTGGTGGCTATGGTGGGTGTTTTTCATTAGAAGAAAAGTAGATTGATCCCTATTTGAGTTATCAATCAGTTCAGCCAATGTCCAATAGTGATGATTTGTTTATTCATGCATTCATTTCAGAAATATGTATTAAGCAGTGATGCATGCTGGGTATTGCTGCAGGCCCTGGGAGGCTGGGCAGCCAAGATCCTGAATCCCATCAAGGTGTACAAGGGATGTACCATCAAGATGCCAACACATTAGCAAAGTCATCCCAAATGGCGCTGTGTGAAGAGACCAGCACAGGATAATGTGATAGACAATGGTTCAGGGATGAGCCTGGGCCTGGCTGAAGAAGTGATCTGGGAACTGAGAACGGATGGACAACCTGGGGCTCATCTAGGGAGATCTCCAGTCACGCCATTGTAGGTTCAAAGTCCCTGAGGGAGGACTGAGCTTGGTACGCTGGACGAATATTTTACAAATGTGATTAGTAACTAGTGATGGCAGGTTGTTCATGGTGTTAATGATCAAAGCTGGGTAAAAGTCAAGAATATGTTTTAAAAACCCGCTACGGAAAGAAGAGGGCTTAAGATAGAATACCATTAATAACAATTTGGCGAGGTTTTTTTTTCCCTGTAAAATCAAAAGATTGTAAATGCCTCAAGTTTTAGGGGCTATACATGTGATGATTCAGCTCTTCCATCACAGTGTGAATGCTGTCTTAGACAAGAGGTAAATGAATGAGACTGGCTATGTCCCAATAAAACTTTATTTACAAAAACAGGCAGTGAGTCAGATTCAGTGGTGGGCTGCATTGTAATCGGCCATGTAAAGGTGTCATTGGCTATTAAGGTATTAGCTGCTGTGATTACAGCCTCGTCCACCCAACCTGTGGCCTTGTACTCCATCGTATCTGTGGGCCACTTCCTGCTCCGGTTCTCAGGCTTTCTCTCTGATGCCCTGCCAACAGCACAGGGGGGTGAGCACAGAGCCCCAGGAGCCTGGGGTGGGACAGGGGGAGGGGGGGGCAGCACAAACTCTCTCGAGGTCTTCACATTCTCACTAAAGGACTAAAATGTGCATTATATATTCTGCTCCATAATAAATCCAAAACCCACCCTCTGAGCAAATGAGCGTTACTTATACCGTGGCCTCCAGAACCTACTGCATCCCCCCTCCCACTGTCACCGGGTCGATTCCGATTATGGCACCCCTGGAGGACCAGGTGGAACTACCCCCGTGGGTTCCACCCTCAAGCCTGCAGCTAGAGCAGAGTGCCATGCAGCGAGCACAGTCAGTCACAGCAGGTGGATGGAGGTGGAGGTGTAGTCGGTGGGACACACGGTGGTGATGGCAGTGTGAGTGGTGGTGTGGTCCCAGGTGGCGGCGGAGGTAGTGACAGTGATGGTGGTGGATGTGGGGATGGTGGCACTCCTACCACAGCCATTGGCACTGGTAATAGATGTGGGGAGATCAGTGAGTGACAAGCTGGGAGCCCCCTCCTCTGGCAGACACCTGGGCAGCCTCACTCTCTCATCTGTTTCTTTTCTCCAGTGTCCATGGCAACATCCTGCAATGACCCCGGGGTCCCGCAGAATGGGAGCCGGAGCGGCAACAGTTGGGAAGCCGGGGACTCCACGGTGTTCCAGTGTGACCCCGGCTATGCGCTGCAGGGGAGCGCGGAGATCAGCTGTGTGAAGATAGAGAACAGATTCTTCTGGCAGCCCAGCCCGCCAACGTGCTCCGGTACAGAGCAGCTGCAGAACAGGCCTTCCCTCGGGATCCTGCTGCGCCCTGCTCTAGGCCCTCCTCCGAGGGGGCAGCTACTTCTTAGGCAGGGCCAGGAGAAACTGAAATAACTGCCAGTGGCAGATGACCCAGAGCTGACCCTTGTTCACACACACACACACACACACACACACACACAGAGTCCTGACCATTTCTAAGACAACCCTGCCTGTCCCTCTTCTCCCGGGGCAGCCTGCGTAGGAGGAAAGAAGAGAGTGGGTCACCTGAGGCAGTAGGAGTCCACTGCACCAAGTGGCCATCGAGTCCCTCCCAACGCAAGGCCATCACCTGTGTGTCACAGTATAACTATACTCACTCCAGCCGGTCTTCAGGGGCTGGGAATTTGGAACATTCATATTTTATGTGTACTTTGGGCATGTAGGTTAGATGACTTTTCCTTCCAACTGCTCGACCTCCCTGGGCATTCCATTCCCTACGATGAGCCCTGTGTTCATGGCAGGCAGGTGGGCGTTATTTGAGGGGGAAACGTGGTAGATCACCCCACTTTTCTTCTGCCTCTGGGTGGACTCAAACCTCCAACCCTCTGGTTAGAAGCTGAGCGTAGGAACTCCCTGGAGCTCCAGGGACAGGCAACACATTCTGCAATGACTTTCCTGTCTCCTGAAGCCCCAGAGCAGTGGTTCTCAGCCTTCCTAATGCCTCGACCCTTTCATACAATTCCTCATGTGGTGGTGACCCCCCACCCTCAACCATAAAATTATTTTCATCACTACTTCATAGCTCTAATTTTGCTACTGTTATGAATCAGGACACCCCTGTGAAAGGGTCGTTCAACCCCCAAAGGGGTCACGACCCACAGGTTGAGAACCACTGCCCTAAAGGCTCTTCCTTTGGGCAAGGAAATGATCAGCCACTTGAGTGTGGTTCTCCAGAGCTGCCCTGAGCCTTAATGTCTTCCCATCTGACCGGTGGAGAACCGGCGCCTCAGAGGGTAAAGCTTTCTCAGGAGGGCCTCAATGATCCTGCACCCCGGCTACCTGGGAGGAGGCAGAGGGAACAGGAAAGAAGGAGAAGTGGGAACAAACATTCCATGCACATCTTTTTCTCAGGCCAGATAACGAGTACATGTTGCTCGTATTTTAATGTGAGATGCCACAGCTCTCCTGTGAAACGACCCAGAATGGTCTCCACTGACTGTCGCCCCTGCCCTTCATCTTACCCTACACACCATGTGTTTCCTACTCACCACTGAGGAGCAGGGTGTAGGGTCTCACGGCAATGTCAGGCCTCAGAGCCTTGACCGGTGCTGGGCAGCCTCCACGAGCCTGCACAGGGGAGGTGGAGGGCATGGGCAGGGCCGGGTCCCCGGGAATATTTCTGGAGGGAGGCAGGACAGGGAAAGACTGCATTCAGACTGGTGTGGGTGGGTGGGTCTGAGGGTCTGAATCCGGGTTCCACCACAACCCAGCTCTCTGATTTGGGGCAAAATACTCTCATTCTCTAAGCTTCACTTTCCTCCACTGTAAAACGAGTGTGCAGCAAAACAAAAGAAACAGCTCCCTATCATCCCACCAGTTCTGACTCACAGCAGCCCACAAGGACAGAGCAGAGCTGCCCCTGGGGTTCCCAGGCTGGAAATCGTTACTCGAGCAGACAGCCTTTTCCCCATGGAGTGGCTGGTGGGTTTGAACTGCTGACCTAGCCGTTAGCAACTCAATGCATAACCACTAGGCCACCAGGGCCCCTGAAAGATGAGGACATGGGTTAATTTCAGAGAGCTTCAAAACATTTATGAGGTTATGCAAGTAGACACCCTGGAGAAGGCTGGCCCAAGCAAGGGCTCAATGGCTAGTGGCTCTTTTCTCTCAGTCGTTCTGATGCCATGATGGATGGCAAATCACGGGCGTTGAGTCTCAGGGTCCACTCTGAGCCTTCCTGGCCTCCTCTGTCTTCATGTTTAGGTTGTTATGAGACATATAAACATGAATGAGATCATGTATCTAAAATCCATGTCTGATCTTGAAACCAAAAGCATTGCCACTGGGTCGATAGAGACCTTGTTGGACAGAGTAGAACTACCCCCCTTTGGCTTTCCCAGGCTATAAAATGTATCGTATGAATCTTTACAGGAGGAGAAAGCTTCATCTTTCTCCTACAGAGCAGCCAGTGGGTTTGAACTGCTGGCCTTGATTTTCACAGCCCAATGCATAACCCCCTGTGCCACCAGGGCTCCTTGATACCTGTATCATAGGCACCCACAGAAGTAGTTCTTGTATCCAGAATGGTACATGGTCACCGCCATTTGTAACCATTCCGGTCCAGGGTTGGCCCACGTTAGGGTTTTTGTGGCCTGGCCTGAAGCCCTCCCTTGGTTTCTAAGAAACTGTGTTGAAGCTGAAGCAGCCCTTTAAGCCACACCTTGAGGAAACCCCACAGAAGGAGACAGTAGAACGCGGCTCTTCAGAGTATGAGCTGGCTGCCCTGATGTTGCCGGTTGGAGACACTCTGGTTTCCACCTCAGTCTCATCTTGGATTTGCAAATGTCCCACGGGTACACCATTTGTCAACTCCACTGCCGACCTCCCATGGGGCCCCGTGGTTTATACCTATTTCTGTCTCAGCCACCTCTACCTGCTAATGGCCCCACCACCTTCCAAGAGTCTACTCTAGCAATCCCTTTATGCCTTAGAACCACAGCCCTAGTTATTTAGGGGAGAACCTGGCTCAGGATCTGGGGGAGTTGGCCAGGAAGTGCCGGGGATCAGGGCAGATAGCTTACTGTGTCATCCAGCACAGCCCCCTGCTTAAAAGGCTTGTCCTCTCAGCAGAGGGAGAGCACTGTGGACCAACTGGTAATCTGTAAGCATGCCAAACAACTGAGGGACAAACACGGTCTTGGGTGAAGCCCTTTGGAAAATGAGGAGATGCCTGCAGCCCCAGACAGATGCCAAGAGTGCTGACAATGTCGGAGGCTGGCAGCAACTGGTGGCTGGGCGTGATCGAGAGCACAGGAGCCCTTGCTCAGTACCTTCCACCTACCAAGCTCTCCTGGAAGCTGAAGGCAGTAGCGATCCAGAACACAGCTGAGCGTGCTCATGCCCTGACTATGTACCCTATGCCAAATGCTGCCACAAATAGCTCCCATCATTACAACCACCCTGTAAAGAAGGTACAACTGTCTTCTTTCCACTGCAGAGGTTAGGATCCTGAGAGGTAGAGAGATTAAGTATATTCCCTGAGGTCACAGAGCCAAGTTGTAACTTAGGTCTTTCAAACTCAAACCCCTCCCATCCTGTCTTATCAGCCAATACTGATTACAATGTGACCGGGGTGAAGGGGACAATCTTACCCCCATCTTCCTCTTTCCTCAGCTCCCTGTGGGGGAGACCTGACGGGACCATCTGGAGTCATTCTGTCACCAAATTACCCGGAGCCCTACCCGCCAGGCAAGGAGTGTGACTGGAAAGTGACCGTGTCCCCAGACTACGTCATCGCCCTGGTATTTAACATGTATGTACCTTTCCCCCCGGGGGGCAATGAGGGTTCAGTCCAGCTAGGGGGTTCAGGACCTGGGTCTGTAGGTAAGTGTGTACGGGTGGTCTCCTGTGAGCAGAGTTCCCAATACAGTACGAAATGAAAAAACTGACAGTGAAGGTAATATTTATTGAGCCTTTGTGCTCAATAAATGTGCTTAGCAGTATGTTTGGTGGCTTCACATATATGGTCCTCTTTCATCCTGTATAATAATTACTGAAGTTTTTTTTTATATCTGACTATGTTAATATTCAAAAGGCAGACTCCTTCTTCCTGCTGGCTCCTTCTGCTTCTTCCTCCTCCGGGTCGGTCTCTTCTCCGCTTTCTGCTGGCTTCTCCCATCCAGGACTCCCAACTGGTTCTTCCCAGCCCAGTCATGGCAGAAAGAGCAAAATCTGGACAGACCAGAAGTTGCAAGATGTGGGTACCTAGAGCAATAACTAGGAATATTATCAGTTGACATCCTGCTAGAAACTTAATCTTCCTCTTGGAAAACTGAATGGCATGCACCTGGCCTATCAACAGAATTTCTTGATCAGCAGAGTCTGAAATGACACTGTCCTGCTCAAAGACGACAGCCACAGTGCTGCTTTGAGCGTGTGCCACTCTCCACAGTGCTGACAGTTGAAGGGCTTACTCTGCCCCTTCCAAGTTTCCACTCCAGGGATCAGGCTGAAGTGCTGCCTGGTTATCATCCCAGACTGAACAAGAGAAAACAAAAACCTCAGCACCATCAAGTTGATTCCAACTCATAGGACAGGGTAGAACTGCCCCTGGGGGGTTCAGAGACCATAACTCTTTATGGGAGTAGAAAGCCTCCTCTTTCTCCCTTGACGTGAAACCACTATGCAACCAGGGCTCTTCGGTGATCCTCCCAGGCACCTATATTTTGTAAATTCCAGTCCAGTGCAAAATTATGGTTTTGCTTCATTGGCCGTGACTGGATAAGCCTCAGGTTCTCTCATATACGCTACCTTCTATCTACTGACATCTCTCCTTTATTCCTTTTGTAGGACAGCCCTTCAAAAGAATTGCCCCTGCTTTTCTCTTCCTCACCTCCGGTTCACTCTCAGATCGTTGGAAAAACTGGTTCTGCCTCCACCATTCCACAGGAAACTCCTCAGTTAAGCATTGTCAGACAACAGGGGGTTTCCCGTGCTTTATCCTTGTTCCCCACTTGATCCACCCTCGTACTCTGTTTTTTCCTTGTTTGCTTGTTTGTTCAGGGTACTCTCCCCTGCTTCTGCACCTTCTTTTGGGAAGGCATGTCTGCCTTCCCTTGCTGCTCTTCCTGAGCCGGACTCAATCACTGACCTCTCATCTTCACATCCACACATCCTTCTTGGACCAACATCCTAGCCTATGATTTCACTTCCTCTTGTAAGCAAGGATTCCCCCCTGCCTCCCACCCACTCTTGCTTTTGAGCTGCAGGACCCCATGTCCAACTATCAGGCATCTCCTCCTGCAGCCTACAGGAACCTCAAATACAACATGTGCAAAACGAAACCTGTTACTACCCAGCCCCCCAAGACCAACTCTTATGCGAATATTGGAGAGTGACACCATCTCCCACTCACCCTGCTTCAGCTAACCAGTCACCAAAGCATGGAACATCTGTTGCTTTGGCACCGCATCTGCTCCCCTCTTCGCCATCGTCCCAGCTACTCATTTGCGGTGAAGCCCTTATCCTTCCTCATCTAAATTCATGTCACAGCCTCCTAACTGGTTTCTTTGCCCCTAACTTGCCTTCTATGCTAATCTGTTCTTAAGCTGATGGCATGATCTTATCATCTAAAATAACTTGAAAAGCTAAAATAACCACCTTATTTTCCATTCTAATGTCCCATGACAGTCCTACACAGTTCTTAAAAAGGAATGAACTATATTGTTGTTGTCGAGTCCGTTCTGACTCATAGCAAACGATGCACAACAGACCGGATCACTGCCCGGTCCTGTGCCACCCTCAAGATTGTTCTTCTGTTGCAGCCCATTGTTGCAGCCCCTGCATTCATTCATCTCGTGGAGGGTCTTCCTCACTTCTGCTGTCCCTCCACTTTACCAGGCATGATGTCCCTCTCCAGGGACTGGTGTCTCCTGACATGTCCAAAATACATGAAACCAGGCCTCACCATCCTTGTCTCTAAGGAGCACTGGCCACACCTTTTCCAAGATAGACCTGTTTGCTCTTCTGGCAGTCTATGGGACTACATTCAGTATTCTTCTCCAGCACCACAATTCAAATGCATCGGTTCTTCTTCAGTCTCCCTTATGCAATGTCTAACTCTCGCATGTGTACGAGGAAATGGATAATACCATGGCTTAGGTCAGGCACACCTTAGTCCTCAAAGTAACATCATTGCTTTCCAACACTTTAAAGAGGTCTTTTGCTGCAGCTTTACCCAAGGCAGTGCATCTCTTGAGCTCTTGGTTGTTACTTCCATGAGCGTTGACTATGGATCCAAGCAAGATGAAGTCCTGGACAACTTCAATCCTTCCTCCGTTAAGCACGGTGTTACCTATTGGTCCAGTTGTGAGGATTCTGATTTCCTTTACATTGCATTGTAATCCATACCAAAAGTTGTAGTCTTTGGTCTTCACCAGGCTTCAAATCCTCTGCACTTTCAGCAAGCAAAGTTGTGTCATCTGCATTTTGCAAGTTATTAATAAGCCTTCCTCCAATCCTGATACCAAGTTCATCAGATAATCCAGCTTCTCTGGTGATTTGCTCAACGTACAGATTGAATAAGTATGATGAGATGATACAACCCTAATGCACACCTTTCCTGATTTTAAACAAAACTGCCTCGATCTACATACAAGTTCTACAGGAGCACGGTGAAGGGTCTGGAATCCCCATTCCTCTCAAGACAATCCATAGTTGGTTGTGATCCACAGAGTCACGTGTCTTGGCATAGTCAATGAAACACCTTCCTTGTGTTCTTGGCTTTGAGGTAAGATCCATCTCACATCAGCAATAATATCCCTTGTTCCAGGTCCTCTCCTGAATCTGACCTGAACCCCTGGTGGCTCCTTGTCAATGTACGGTTGCCACCATTGTGAGGCGATCTTCAACAAAATGTTCCTTACAAGTGATAGTCACGCTGTTGTTTGATAAGTTTCCGCACTCTGTGGGTCACCTGTCTTTGGAATGGGTACACCTATGAGTCTCTTCCAGTCAGTTGGCCAGGCAGTTGTCTTTTAAATTTCCTGGAATGTTTCATTTTGTTTTAAGCTGCTGAACAAGACCTCTTTAAAATGTTGAAAAGCAAGGATGTTACTTTGAGGAGTACGGTGAGATTGACCCAAGCCAGGGTATGTTCGATCGCCTCATGTGTGTGTGAAAGATGGACACGGAGTAAGGGTGTGTTTCCGGTGCTTCATCGGCCTGTTGAAATATTGCAATGGGCATTCCATGAATTCCTGGAGCCTTGGTTTTGACTAATGCTTTCATTGCAGCTTGAACTTCTTCCTTCAGCACCATGGGTTCTTGCTCATATGGTACCTCCTGAAATGGTGGAATGTCAGCTAGTTCTTTATGGGACAGTGACTGTATATTCTTCCCATCTCCTCTTGAAGAGTCTTGTATCATTCAATATGTTGCCTGTGGAATCTTTCAATAGATGAATCTCAAAAACATTACGCTGAAGACACTTTTTAAAATTGTGTAACGTATGCTACTACGTATATGGCATTTTAGAATCAGCAAATCGAACATATGATAATGGAAAACAGACCAGAGAAGAACAGCTCTGAAGGAGCCCCTTGGAAATTTCTGAGATGTCTGATCAAGATCTTGATATGCAGATGCCAAACTGGTGGAGTGGTAGACTTAAGAGCTTGGATCATTTCGTAGTGGGTGTGTAAATTATTCTTTGATTTTAAAACAACTTCTTGAAGGCAGGACTCCTGTCTGCTGCATCCCTAGATGCTGGGTAGCTCGATTGGTGCTTGGCACATGTGGGGGCTCAGGTAAAACTGGATGTCTGAGAGAAGAAAGGAGAACCCTTTAAGTGGTTAGGTAGGGAGCAATGGTGTCATAATCTGAGGCCAGATTGACTTGACCTTCCTTGGTGACTCGGAAGGAGCAGATGTGTTGGATTATGGGACAAGAAGACCTTCACTTCAAACAAGGTTAGGAGTGACCTCACATCTGGTACCAGTGTGAGAGGGTGCTCTTCCGAAAGGAGGAAGTCAGTGTATATCTGGCCCTGACTCCCAGGTCCTCTACCCGCATTCTGTCTCGACCAGCCCTACTCACTTTGTCCTCCAGGTGTTACATCCTGTCTCCCCACCATGTTTCTTGGCCCAGCAGTAGAGAATGCCTCCTTGCTCAGTCCAGCCGGATGGACTAAATACCTCAGCCCATGACTAGGGTACAAATGAGTTGCATCCAAAATCTAGTCTTTGCAAACGGATTTGCTTGTACTCTGTTGTTTTCCTTTTCACACGCTTGGATGGACTCAGTTGCCTTTGCTGGATCTATACTGTAGAGTAGAATCCTTGTATCATGGGGCCAGCGTCTGTTCAGACTTAGCAGCTGTTTCCAAACAGTTTTCCAAAATGGTTGTACCTGTTTCCACACTCACCAACAGTGTACGAGAGTTCAGTGGCTCCGGTACTTGGTAACTCTCGTCGTGTTTATTCTAGCCACTCCAATGAGATACATTCTATTTAAAATCTCTGCCATTGGTTTGTTAAACCAAGACCGTTTGAGGGTTGTTTTTTTTCCATGCCAGGGTCAGGCTAACGAGGAAAGAGACCCAGCTCTGAGACTGTGGGTCCCCGGAGTTGGCCAGTAGCAGATCCTGAGGCTTGCTGGGAAACGGCCTTGGGGAGGAGGAAGAAGTGAGGGTCCCCCATGGTCAAAGACGTTTCCTGCCTGGAAATGGCTTGGTTGATGGCTCTGTCTCGTCCCGCACAGTGAGAAGAACAATAGAATCGGTTAAGAGCCCTGGCATCTGGACCTGCCTTGGCTGACTAGAGTGGACACACCCTGTCCCTTCCATAAAAGGAGACACAAGCTTTCCACCCCAGCTTCTGGAGACTCACTCTGGACTCGGCCGCCTCCGTCCCTGAGCCTTCCCGACCCATTGTGTCATCAGATGGGGGTGCTCACAGGAGCTTCATTCTTTCTCCCCACCAGCTAGTTTTCGGGGTTGGGCATCTGGGAGAATGGAGGACTTGTGATCTTTGGGAGGCCTCACCCTGCGGTGAAGGCCAAGGCCCCATCAGCAGCCTGTCTTTGACCTCCATCGGGTGGGCCGGTGTGTTTGTTCCCAGCTTTAACCTGGAGCCTGGCTACGACTTCCTCCATGTCTACGACGGACGGGACTCCCTCAGCCCCCTCATCGGAAGCTTCTACGGCTCCCAGCTCCCAGGCCGCATCGAGAGCAGCAGCAACAGCCTCTTCCTTGCCTTCCGCAGCGACGCCTCCGTGAGCAACGCTGGCTTCGTCATTGACTACACAGGTAAGGGCCGGCTGGCAGGCCTGGCTGAGGGCAGGGTCACCTAGACTTGGCTGAGGGAGCAGACGGACGAGCAGTGCACAGAGGAGAGATGCATGGGTGGGACCTCGGGGGAGGCTGCTCCAGTGCCCCAGAGGCCCTCTAGCCCTGGGACCCTCCAGAGGCTGCACCTGTCCCCTTCTATGCCCCAGCTCAGAGAGGTAAGAGGATCCGTGTTCTTTTTCTGACGCCTTTTTCTTGTTCCAAAGCATTCCTCCTCCTTATTCCCCTTCTCCTCAACTCCACATCACCCTCCGAAGCTCACTCTGCGTCGATGGTTTTAGAGGCTGTCGAGTGGATTTTGACTCCTACAATCCCACGTGACAGAAGAGAACGGGCCCTGAGGGTTGGTTTTCTAGCCTGTGAAGGTCACAGACGCAGACTGTCAGGTTGCGTGTTCTCTTGTTTTGCTACGTGGGTTTGGACCCAAACTTTTCGGTTCTAAGTCAGGGACTTAACCATCGTGCCATCGGGGCACCTCCCCACCCACTGCCTATCAGCTAACACCTTCCTGATCACTTTCCCGCCCTCGCTGTGGCTTCTGATGCCAGACTGCAGCTTCCCCAAAGCCTCCCACCATCCTGGCTGGCTTCAGCGTCCCTGTGGACAATGCGTTCGGCACAGAGGCTCTCAATGCCTCAATCTCAGCCCAAGGACCCCACCCTGCTGGCCCCTGAACCCGCAGCCATCCTCTGGAGCTTTGTCATTACCTGGACACCTTCTGATCCTTCCCGGTCATGTTTTCCTGTCCTTCCATGCCCTCCCACCCAGGGCCCTCTTGAACCAAGTAAAGCAGAGGGAATAGTGTAGCAATCAAGAACAGATGCTGCCCCCCCCTTTTTTTTAAAGAGGGCCACAGAGTCCCTATGTCCGTCTCTGTCATAGTGACTCATCTCTCCTGTCGCTGGGTGGGAGCACCCACGGGCAGTGGGTGTACGAATGAACGGGCTTGCCATGCTCCGCAACACTTCCTGTATGAAAACAGGCCTCGTCCCACAGGGATGGTCCTTCTGACATGGCCAAGTGCATGCTCACCAAGAGGCCGTTGTGTGGACTTGGGAAAGCTGTGTACCCTCCATGTCTTCATTGAGAAGATGAGAAAGCAGCTCCTCTGTCCGTAATCAAGCTCTGGAGCCCTGGTGGGGTAGTGGTTCTGCGTTCGGCTGCTAACCATAAGGTCAGCGGTTCGAGTCACCAGCGGTTCCGAAGAAGAAAAGCAGGGCTTTCTAGTCCCGTCAGGAGTTTCCGTGTCGGAAGCCCACGGGGCACTTCTGCCCTGTCCTATAGGGTCCCTGTGAGTCGGTGTGGACGCCATGGCAGGGAGCGAGCTCATATAAGCAGGCGAAGATCAACGAGTCCCTGCAATAAAGTTCTTGGCTCGGTACCTGGCACATGCCAAGCCCTCTGTAATGTTCAAATAGGACTATGATCGTCAATGGTTCCAGTGTCCCACACTCCACTCGCTTCCACTCTGCCAGCCCCTGTTTTGACCCATTTAATCTTCTTCCCCAATTATCTCAGATCTGATTACCCAGTGCTGGTGCCCATTTCATACCTGATTTGTGAGCTTGGCAAGTTATTCATTCTTGGCACCCACACCTCCATCTCCCAAATGAAGCTCATAACAGTCATGTTGTGGATGGGTCTTTAAGACCGAAAGATCGTGGATGCATGCCTGTTGTATGTATTAGCATCCTATCCAGTATGCACTATCCTTTCTACAGATGCTCATGAGCTGGGCGTTTCTATTACTGAGACTTTAACCCAAGTCCACCCTATGTATACATGTGAGACCCCATCGCCAGCTAAAATTAAAATTCCTCCGGCTCATGCCCACTACTTGCACAATGTAGGACCTCTGCAACCTTTCCAGCATCCTTTAATTAAATATTTCTGGCAACCCCTGGGCTACCTCACATGAGATCACAAATAACACTGATCATTAAATAGCTAGTGCTTGTTCAATGTCTGCCCCGTGCCAGCCCTCTTCTGAATGTTTTCTATCCATCAACTCATTGAAATCCTCCTAACTATCGATTGCCTGCTATTAGTCGGAAAGTCAGTGGACAAGACAGAGGACATTTATTTGTTCAAGGAGCCCCTTTGGGGAGGTGGACATATTGCCACCCTCTCTTCCTCCAGGCCCGTCATTCTTAACAGCCCCGGACCCAAACGTTCCTCAACTTACCGGTATCCAAGCAAACACGACCAGGCATTTTGGAATTCTAACAGAAAGCAGGACTTCCGTTCTGCCGATGACCCCATCACACCACTTATCCCTGCTGCTGTGTCGTCGTCTCATTTTTCTCATTACGGCCAACCCCGTAAGCAGCTTTCTACTCCCGTAAACAGTCACAGTCTCAGAAACCCCCAGGGGACCACTGTGAGTCTGCATTCACTCGGTGGCAGTGAGTGATCTTGAGAGTGAACCTCAAGGTTGGCCATTGGAACCCCCCTCATGGGTCCATGTCGATGGCAGGGAGCTTGGGTTTTGTTGTTGTTGTTGTTGTTGTTGTTGTTGTTGTTGTAACGGTACCATCAAGGAACCCTGGTAGTGTAGTGGTGACATGCTGGGCTGCTGACCAGGTCGACCATGTGGAAGGACCAGCCACTCCTCGAGAGAAAAATGAGGTTTTCTACTGCTGTAAAGAGTCTCTGAAATGCACCGAGGCAGTTCATTCTACCGTAGCCTGTCAGGTTGATGTGAGTCAGAATCAACTTGATGGCAGAGAGGTGCTCGGTTGTTTGAGTTAATGGAATCATAAGAGCCCTGGTAGTGGTACTGTCAGGTGAGCACTAGGTTCAAACCCATCAGCTGCTCTGCAAGAGAAAGATGAGGCTACATGCTCCTGTAAAGATGCACAGCCTTGGAGCGCCTGGGATCACTGAGTTGGAATTGATTCCGTGACAGTGGGTTTGGTGAGTGGGTACCACAGGAGGAAAAGTCTGATTGGGAATCTGCTGCCATTAGGATTAGAGCCAAGAAGATCTTATGGATCAATGTACCCTGTAGGCACGTGGGGTTACATGACTTCAGAATCAACTCACCAACAACGGGGCAATACGATCAGTTGGCAATTGACTACTGACAGGTTGGTGGGTCAAACTCACCTCGAAATTCCAAGGAAGGAAAATGTGGGCATCAGCCTCAGTAAAGGAAATGGAAACTATGTACCAAGAAGACCAGGCAGCTGAGAGTAAAGTGCTTGCACTACGAGGCACTCCTGGTAAAGAGCTCTGTAGTAGAGATCTTGGGCTTAGCAAGCCAGACAGTCTGAGACAATGCTCATCCTACTGTTGGAGCACTCCTCGGTTGACAACAACAGACATCAGCCGGAGGTGACCTGCCAGCTGTCTTTCTCTGACTCTTGTTGTATAGGAACAAGATCATGCCACATACACTAATCTGTAACCTGAACCCCCTCATTCGCAACAAGAGATCATGGGCATCTTTTGCTAGCTGTGTACAGCAACTGTGCCATCCTTTGGAAGGCCTGCAAATATTTCAATGGATTGCTCTAATCCAACCTTTACAACTAGCTCCTTGCCCATCAGAAGTCTGGGTTGTGGCTTGCAATTGGATTTTTTGTGTTGTTAGGACTAACCATGTTTGGAAAGGGGCCCCATCCGTTAGGACTAGCGAGAAGCCCGTTCTTTTATGTTTCCCATTTTGAAAGGCTTGGCTCCTATTGATTATTATTGTCACCATGTTGTAGCCATTTCATTTGATCATTCACACCTGAGCTCTGGTTTGGCAGTCAAAAGACCCGCTTCTGGTCTTAATTCTCTCTCTTAATGGCTGGGTGGCTGGGAAAAGGCATTTAGCCTATCAGCTCACCACGTCCTCATCCATAACCTGAACAGGAGTGTCCCTGGCCCAGGCTGATCCCAGAGGCTTGGATGAGACACAAATGAGATAGCAGATTGGAAAGTGCTTGGGAAATTATAAGGTGATATCCCAGGTAAGGGATCCGCGTGGCTGTCATTACCCTTGTCATTATTATTAATGCTGCATGCTGGGAACGATCCCGCTTTTCTTACTCTGGCGTGCAAGTAAGAGTAAATATAGAACGAAGTCTGTCACTGCAGTGGTTGATGTAGCTGTTGAGCTTTCAAGCCTGGGTGTGTTCAGCCAGCCAATTAACTCAGCAGCTGTTTATTAAGCCTCTGTTGTGTGCCAAGTAGGCCTGGCTTTGGTGCCAATTCGTGTCAGATCCCAGAGTGATACGAGGAGTGGGTGATGGTCTCTGTCATCGGGGGTTGGGAACCTACCTGGAAAGGCATACACTTAGCCAGTTACCCTCTGATCTTTTGTATCCCCTAAAAGATGTGTTGCAAATCCTAACCTTTCTCCCCATGTGTGAAAACCCTATTCCACTTGGGACTTGAGTTCCTTTTGTTACGTCAATGAGGCCAATGATCAGTGGAGGGTGTGTTTGTAGACTGTGCTAGTCTGGGTCTTTAGAGAAACAAATCCACAAACACTCATGTATAAGAAAGAGTTTTATATAAAGGGTAAGTGCGCATCAAGAAAATATCCCAACCCAGTGCTGCCCAGGCCCACAAGTCCAACATTAACCCATTAACGCATATGTCTAATACCAGTCCACAAAGTCCTCCTCCACCTCACAAAACAGATGCAATGACGCCAACTGCAGGAGGTAAGCTGAGTCAGTGAATGTGTAAACATCTCAGCGCTGGCAGGGGTCTCCGCACGGGTGCTCCAGCACCCTGGGCTGCATCATGTTAGGTCCATGTGGCTTCTCCTCGGGGATGTCTTGCAAGAAGTCAGCCTTGCAAGCTGAAGCAGGGAGCTGCTAAGGCAGCTGCACCCTGGTGCGACCATCACAAAGTAAGAGACCCGAGAACTCGAGAACTTGAAAGGCGAGGCTCACAGAGCCATTTATCCCTCCGCCTTTCAATTAATCCCACATGTGTTTATCGCCCAGGTTGGCACAATAAAC